ATTTGAATGGCAGGGGACAACAGCAGCAGGAACATGTTTTCAATGCAAACAAACCTGCAGGAACCCGAATTATGTGCTGGCAATGAAAAGTCTGATTTTGACTGACTAATTAATGAAAAAGGCGAATGCGCTGTATTGCTCACTGCGCCAAAGATGGTGAAAGATTGGGTTGCGTTTTATTATCGCGGGTGCCGGGACGCCGGGACGCCCTGCATGAACATCCCGCCGGGTGCGGAATCGCGCGTGTAGGCGCATCACCATGGTCAAAAAATGACAACCGTTTCAGTGTTTCGTAGCCGTCTCAAAGTAAAAATCCTTTAAAAAAAATGTCATTTTTCTTGCGTTTGGCAACCCTTCCACACATAGGTCATTTATGTTTGGGAAACTTCCGCCGCCGGCTTGCCCGGGTCTATGTAAAAAAATGTCATTTTTCTTGCGTTTGGCAACCCTTCCACACGAAATCCGGACCTTTTTTGCATTGCCAGTTTCAGTGATCATTGTGCATGTAGACCTGTGCATCAGTAACGTGTTCAACTTCAAACGAACGTTAACATACCCACCCCACCCCACCCCACCCCATGCTCAGCGTAGCATCAATGGCGTGTTCAACTTCAAACGAACGTTAACATCCCCACCCCACCCCATGCTCAGCGTAGCATCAGTGGCGTGTTCAACTTCAAACGAACGTTCACATCCCCACCCCACCCCATGCTCAGCGTAGCATCAGTGGCGTGCTTCAACTTCAAACGAACGTTCACATCCCCACCCCACCCCATGCTCAGCGTAGCATCAGTGGCGTGTTCAACTTCAACCGAACGTTAACATCCCCACCCCACCCCACCCTGCTCAGCGTCATCCGTGTTCAACTTCAAAACGCCCCACCCCACCCCATGCTCAGCGTAGCATCAATGGCGTGTTCAACTTCAAACGAACGTTAACATCCCCACCCCACCCCCCCACCCTGATGTGAAATTGGGAATGTTGAAAATGTGTGTCACTACACGTACGGTTAGCATGAACATGCTTTGAAGTTATCCGCTGCCCATACCGGTTTTCCGTGTAAAGACCATTCAGCCAAGCTTCAATTTGTGATTGTTGGTCATTAAAACCTTGCCAGGCAATCTTTCTATTGGCTTTATGTTGCGTGACAAGCGTCATTGTTTGCAAGTGTTGCGGTTTGAACGTGGCAATGCCAATGGCAAACAGTCCAACACCATCATTGCAGCGCAATTATGTCAATCATTTCACAGACGCACAGTACCAACCGAAAATAAAAAAATACATAACAGTGGCATCTATTTAGTTGAAAACTACTTTTTACACGGCTCACCTTTGTTTAGTTTTTCAAACAGTAGAAGTGCAAAATCCAAAACATGAATGCGTGCAGTTGCCTGCTGCAAACATGACACCAGAACGTAATGAGACAACACCTGAATGCTATGAGAGTGACTTATTATATATATTATATAACAGCTGCTACTAGTAGCAACTACTGTACCTTGCTGCAATGCAAAAGGCTTTGTCAAGTCATTACATGCGAACTTTCTGAGAAAAAACTCAGAGAATTCGCAGTTCCAAGGTCTGGCAAGTTGCTAGAGTTTGGGGTTGATGGTGCCAGAAAGGTGGGCTGTCTTGGGATAGTTTGGGTTTGCCTACAATATACTCAGTATATTGCATTTGTTGCTGACGATCAAACTCGATGAATCTTTCATGCCTATATGATTCCTGTGGAAATCGATGCGGCGCATGCCCTCCGATGCTTCATTGCATTTCATTGCCGTTTGCATTGCTCGCGAAGTCACAACGAAAATTCGATCCATGCCTTGAGCGCCGAAATGTGCCAAAGGAAGATCAGACAAGGGATTTGGACTGCGATGGGCTGCGTGCTGACAGGTCGAGTGCGTAACCAAAGGTGTGCAGGCAGAGTTCTCCAAAGGTGACTTGGCGAGACCGGACGGAATTGGTCACCCACTAGCAGCGTCAGGCCACAATGAGTCAATGAATCACCCGCCACGTCGGAGTCAGTCACTCTCCACAGCCTCACTGGGGGCGAGGGGTCACTGCCCTGGGGCGTGCCTCGTGGGCCATAAAAAAGTGACATGGGTTCTTTAGGGTTGGCCAGGGTTGTTTCAAGATGTATTGGGGTCTATTTGGGGCTGGTTTTCGGGTTGGTTTTAGGGTTGGTTTATGTTGGTTTAAGGTTTCTGCAGGGTTTCCTCATGGTTCGCTTTAGGGTGTATTTAGGGTTGACTTAGTGTTGGTTTTGGGTTTATTTAGGCTTGGTTTAGGGTTTATTTAGGTTTGGTTTAAGGTGAATGGGTTTCGTCAGGGTTTGCTTGAGGGTTGGTTTAGGGTTTCTGTAGGGTTTGTTTTAGGGTTTATGTAGTCTTGGTTTGTGGGTTGGTTCAGGGTTTTGTTTCAAGGTGTATTGGGGTCTATTTAGGGTTGGTTTATTTAGGTTTGGTTTAAGGTGAATGGGTTTCGTCAGGGTTTGCTTGAGGGTTGGTTTAGGGTTTCTGTAGGGTTTGTTTTAGGGTTTATGTAGTCTTGGTTTGTGGGTTGGTTCAGGGTTGTTTCAAGGTGTATTGGGGTCTATTTAGGGTTGGTTTTAGGATTGGTTTAAAGTTTCCGCAGGGTTTCTTCATGGTTCGTGGTTTAGGGTGTATTTAGGGTTGGCTTAGTGTTGGTTTGGGGTCTATTTAGGCTTGGTTTAGGGTTTTTAAAGGGTTGGTTTAAGGTAATGATGTGTTTCGTCAGGATTTGTTTTAAGGTTGGTTTATATAGGGTTTATTTAGGGTTGGTTAATAGAAATATTACGACATTACCCCCACATGTATAGTGTAGATATATCTGCTATAGCTTGCACCACGCGGTAGTCATTGTAGTTATGAGTCCAACCACCAAGGTAGTTGTTTGCAGCTGGCTGATGTGGCCAAATGCTTTTCCCATTAATTCGTTTCCAACCTCTCAAGTCTGATTGACCAGCGTTGGAGGGTATCGAATATGTGGTCAATTTGTTTGCAACACAGCAAGGGACCAAATGAATCGAAAATAGGGTTCTGACATAGGGTCATGTATGCTCGCTGTGGCTTAGCTGGCAGTTTCCCACATGTCAACTTCATTCGGAAAGCCAATATACCTGTGACCTGTTTGTTTACCGCAGCTATTTTCGAAAAGTGTTTGGCTTCCCTGGCCCCTATTTCATCCCTCAGTGACTCTGAGTCCATGCCTCAATAGACTTGCCAAACAGAAGGTACAGGAAGACCCCCTTGTCAGCCTCAGGAGTGATGAGCCAGCACCACGTGCTAATGGTCAGCCCCTCAGAATCATAGGAAGTCAAGTTGGAATACTTGGGATTTAACCATGCTGTTTGATGAGGCCACTCGCCAAGCTATAGGGTTGAGAATCTTCAGAAGGTATATCAAGAAGGATTCTGAGGTAAGCCTAGCCCTTCGTTTTCCCAACATCATATAAAAAATGTTTTCTTCTCTAGGAGGCTGACTACCCTCGTTTTGGGATTATGCGGCATAGCAACTTGAAGAAGTTCCACTTTGACATGATGGAAGCAAAGGCCAGGTACAATCACATCAATCATAATTAGCTTACACATCCCTTCATGACTCAAGTTAGCTAGCATGCTCTCATTGTCAAGAGGTGACCCTGCCGACGTGTCAACGACTCTCTCTCACTGTGGTCACAAGCTGAGATCCAAAGGTCACAAGGATTCAGAAATTGTATGCCTTTTGATTATGATATGTTCTGAGAATAGATATGTGTCACCTTAGCTCCTACCTAGGTCTCTGAGAACAAGTCCAACTCGAAGGCCTCTGCGTTGAAACACACTAGTACCAAATCTGGGCCCTTCCTAGGTAAGAAGGTCTTTCGAGCATGGCCAGCCATCAGCCGGGGAGCTCAATCAATGTTATTATACTGTGCGACTTTCATGATTCCCTTCTTTCTCCAGAGATAAATTACTAAACTCCAAAGATTTCTCTTGTTTGAGGATGCTTTGGCGCAAGCACCCGTGTTACCCAGTCAGCGGTGACCAACAGAGGGATAACTGCCATGGACTTAGAAAAATATTGTGTTGCAAAATTCCCCACCCTTCAGCACATCCCACTTACCAAGGACTTGGCCAACGTGGTGAGGTTCTCTGAAGACTAGGCTGCCAGGAATATGTTTATCAGCAAGGGTTTGCGAGTGGTTTTCGGGTCCGATACTCATGATTCACCAATGGCACCTTCAAATGGCTCAAGCCACGTTAAACTCATAGCTCGTATTGGCCCAGGCCTACCTGCTGGCTGGACCAGCATTGAACCCAATGCTGTGGATGCAACACTTTTCCATGCTCAGTACCCGAGAATGATGCAGGAGGTGCCATTCAGTCTTTGTTGGTCATTTGATGATTCGATCAGAATCCATTACTGTCGGTAAAAAAAGTGTCATGGGGACACCAGCCATGCATGCCAGGAAGGAAAGCACAAAGCCGTTTCTCTCTTCACAGGGGTGGCCGGATTGGAGTTGGGGTCGTCGGAGTGGGGCACCCAGGTGGTGAAGTAAAAACTTAATGTATCTCATTGCAAATACCCAACATTTCCAACATCCTCTATCTCAGGATCATCCACCCGGTGATGATGGCTATAGCCTCAGAATCACTGATCAAACTCTCGTTTAAAGAGCTTCAATTAGGGTTTGTTTTGCTTCTTCAGTTTTCCCCTTAGGTGGAATGCGTGAGCTATTGTCGCAGAGTACTAGCTCAGCGACAAAAGGATGGCCTCCTACCCCATTGTCCAATTCAAGAAGACGTCCGCACCGTGTCAGGTTCCGAGGCCAAGGCTCTCGGTGCCATTGGCGTTGGAGGAGGCTTCCCTTGCCAGGCTGGGCTTCGGCTGGTGAGTGATCAATATATCAACTGATCAGTTCTTCCGATCGCTCATAAATTTGCTGACTCGTTTTTTCGGACCTGATATCTGATGGCAATGTTTTAGTGCTCAATGACCCCTAGCTGTTATATCTCTCCCTGATTTGACCAATGGTGGTGCTGACAGCTGAGAAGACCCCTTCGACTGCTTGCACACCAAAGCGAAAAGCATTCATGCTCCCCCTTTTGGTGATTTCCGCAAAGAAGTGCTGGCAAATCTATGTGGGCATTCCGACAGCTGGTCTTAGAAAGGAAGAGATGATTGATCGGTTATACCAAGCCGACAATGCAGCTGTCTTTGGTCACCCCACTAGAGTGACAAGTCTTGGGAGTGAGGAGCTTTTGGTGGCATGTGTCAAAGCTCGAATTCGATCCACCCGATATGGGAAGAATATTGATGGGCTTGATTTTTGGGTTTGAGCAGTGATTTACCATATTTGGGTTCCTCCAGTAGCATTGCAGCAGGGCCACAGGTGGTCACAATGACTACAACTGTGTGGCCCGAAGCTTGGTTGAGTGGCGCCATGAAACCCAATGTTGCATAGAAGATTACAGAAGATCGTAGCTTTGTGAGGGACTTCCCTCCCATAATTCAAAATTGCTTCTCACAAATTTATGTGTGTTGCGAACTTTCATCGCTGGAAGGAGAAACAATGCATGCGGAAACTGTTCTCTGGAAATCCATTTTCAAACAACATCCAGATTATCAAACAACATCCAGACTATGTGGATCTCCATTCCTGAAATTTGTCCCCTTCGTGGCAGGGGATCAGCTCTACCGGTGCTGGCCTGGGCCTTGATGATAGCAGAAGCTCCTTGATCAAAGAAGCCTTCCGTATCCTGGATCAGATGAATGGGCTCCATCCTCAAGGTTATGATTTCTCAAGAAAATTGGCTCAGTTGAAATCATTTTTTTATAGGACATGTGACATAGTTGTGGCAATCCACACTAGTTCCTTTCTCTACTTGGAAACCGTGCGTGCCCTGTTTGGAAAGAACATGAAGCCCATCTTGAACTACATCTTGGAGGATGGGATATATAATAAGATACAATGATTTATCCAATTTATCCCCACCACTTTTCGCCCTTATCCACTGCTTTGGCCAGGAGATGGCTTGCCGGCACATGGAGGTTCGCTGGGCAACCCTGCAGCTTCGACACGTGGGGCTGGCTGTCCACCTGGCATGAATTGGGAACATCCCTGTAATCAGAATGAAAGGTAGGCAGGGGTTATACATCTTTACTATAAATCAACGGTCTAAAAAACAGAAACAGCTTGCCAGGCAGGAAGAGACAGGGTGTTCCTTTTTGCATACAAGCCTAACTACTCAATGTTCGAGGCTGGTGATTTGGCAAAATGATTCTTGTCAATCTTGTCTCATCTTCGGTACCGATGAAGATTCCGTCGTGCTTACCAGGGGCTGACTTTTCGCCACTCGCCCAGCTACTTGCAACTGAGTGGAACCCGTCATGTATAAAGTACCATTGCATGAATGGTTGATGGAATGTGATGAAATGTAGGACAACTGGAAGGAACGTGTTCACTGCTGTGGCAACATCGTTGTACCAGCCCAAGCAGCAGCGGCCTTGCAAGTGGTTGGTTGGACGCCAGCCTTTGACTGACGCATGCGGTTCAATAAACAGCATGTTGCGAGTTTCAATGCGCAAAACCATCATCACCCTGAGAATTAAAAATATGTGGGAATAATACAAAAAACAACCATAAAATGTTGTTGTTTCGCATGCTGCGCAGTCATGTTCCAATTCGATAAAATTCGAAGAAGTGCAACAGGCTGGAGGTTTCACATTCAACTCCAAGCCATCGGATCTTTTCACTTGACAGGATTCCACATTCTGCTCTCCCTCTCTTTCTCAGCGTGTGCAGAACTCAGCCAGTCCACAATGAGAAAGCAATGTCTGAGCTACACATCAGGATTCGTTTTTGTGCAAGCTTACCTCCGGCCATGCAATATTTGGTTTCAATTTAAGTTTGAATGGTTAGTGTTTATCTAGCACCGGTCACTGAGCTCACCAGCTCAGAGGATGAGGGCACCACACAGGCGAAGCCTCCACCTGGCAAGAAGCCCAGGCATGCTGGTGTGAGCCATGGGGTGTCTCCAGAGTTTTCGGCTGCTGCGCTTCTAGATGAACCGTCTCAGTGCAGCAAAGAAAGATCTTCAGGAAGATCTTGCTATCTCAAACTCCAAGACTCGTTGTCTGACTTGACAAATGTGCGAGAACAATTCCGAAGTCTTCACAAAATCGATCAGGATCAAGTTGACTTCTAGCTGTTCACCAGTAGTTTTTCTGATTGCTTAAAGATATTTGTCCAATTCATATGATTTTTTAAGGCATATCCAAGGGGTACGGAAGGGAATCTACCGGCCAAAACCCATTTTGAAGCCCAGGTATTTGAGCGCCTGATGTATGCACCCCTGGTCGGTGAGTCGGTCAGAGCTCCTCAGAAGGGATCCACAGAAAGCGCCAGCACACCATCAAGGGGATCAATGTTTGCAGGGGTGCTTTCAAAAATATTCTTGGGATTGGATACTTGTCTCCTAGAAGGATTTGTTTACATGATGATTTGGTTGCTTTCAAATGGCCTGTGAACCCCCCCTATATCATAATCAACTTTTGGGAATGTTGCAGATTCAGAGCCCACTTAAGGAAGCCATCGGTACAACAGAATCCGATGTGCTATTGAAGCTGGTGCCAATGCACCCCCAGTAGGCATGAGATACATCAGGAGAGCCTTCAGCAATGACTCTACTACTGCAACTTCAGAATGTATTTCGTTTTTGGAGGGTACCTACCAAAGCGTTGCAGAAACACTGCCAGACATCAAAGACAACTCAATTTCAAAGAGTTGCTGCTGCTTGATGATTCCTACACCGCACCAGTTGCTCTCAAGAAAGTCATCAAGACCAAGTTTGTCAAACGAAAGGGTCCTAGAAGATTCAAGTCTGGCTTAGTAAAACAGGATCGAGCGGAGACTAAAGAGCTGCGCTATCTTCCGCCAGGGAGGATGAAGGATTACTACAACAACATGATGTTGGCCCAGCACCCTGAGGGCCTTTGCGAGCTTCTATCGGGCACCTGGATGATGGGTTTGTCGGGATGTTTTTCTTGTTTCCCCTTAAACTTGATTGAGGTATAAGTCTCACTAAGGGGTTCTGGATCTTCCTACCTGTAGGGAAACCGACATGTTGGTTTTGTAGTCTGGGGCCAGTCAAGGCATGGGATTCAAGAATTTTCTCATATGAAATTTCGAACGAAGCGGCAACATCTGGAATGCTCGATTTGCCAGAGACATCGACTGTTAATCAGACCTTTTTCCCACAACATGTTGGCCTGGAAGGAACAAACTGGTCATTACGACCGTCACCTCAGACAACAATATCTGGATCGGATGCGCTACTGTACTGGTCCATCCGCCAGGATAGCCGATTACACACTCCGTGTGTAGCGGTTATCCTGGACGGCATGGACCAGGCAAAGTTTGCCTACCCACGGACCCCAATAATGGATGGAAAACAATGGGCAAACCTGGCACGTCCTCGATGTCATATTGTTGGAATCAAGGTTCACGGTTATGCTATGTTCTTCGCTGTGAGCAGGGCTGATGCTGCCAAAGACTCAAACCACCACTGTGAACTTCTATGTCATACATTGACACTGGTGAAGAAACGGTTTGGCTTAGACTTCTCAAAAGCGCACTGCCATATACAATCTGACAATTGTTTGAGGGAGGTGAAAAATAATTCTATTGCCAGGTGGTGTTCAACAAACACTTCTCGAGGCATGGGGTTGTCAAACATGATTTGCTACTCAATATGTGTTCAAACAGCGATGATGATTGTGTTGAAAACACCTCAAGCCTCAAGCTATCAAAAGATTATGGTACCCCAAAATTTCAATCACCATTCGCCCCTGAGGAATCTTTAGTTCGTGCACTATGGCCGCTCTTAGGAGCGGCCATAGCCAGGAGCGGCCATAGCCACGAAGATATAGATCAAACATTTGGATGCTTAGCTCGGTGGCCTTTTGCGTTGGAACCAACAGACTTTGTGACATTGATCATCGAGTTTCTGGATGAGAATCCTTTCCCCTTTGAACCTTACAGAATGGCATTTGAACTGAACCGTGTCAGAGATTGGTGACTCAAATACTTTTGCAACCGGTTTTATCACGAAAGGTAGCTCGAGAGGGGCTACCTTGAGTTTTACTTTACGAAGTAAAGGGGAGGGCGGCCAGCCCCGTTACCTGATTATTCAGGAGATTGCTAGTCATTTTAGTACCCCCCCCCACCCCCCCCTCCACGCCTCCCACGCACCCTAAGAGCAGACTCAAAACATTGTAATTTACAGTATTTTGTTTTTTTCGGATGAAGAAACCACATTTTGTTACATGGTGAAACCTCCGTAAATACTAGTGTTTTTGCTAGGTGCTGGCCAAAAAACACTGTAAATACCGTGCTTCTTGCTACCAGAGGTAAAAAACATCGTAAATACTGTGGTTTGGGCTTCCGACCCGCCAAAACCATTGGTATTTACGATGTTTTTTGCTCCGCGAGTTGCAAAAACACGCGAAAACACCACCTATTTCACGATTCTCGGCCACTACGGAACCGAGAAAAAACGCTGCAGGGGTAACACCAACACCAACACCACCACCACCACCACCAACAACAACAACAACAGCAGCAAGAACAACATCATCATCAACAACAACCACAACCACAACCAACAACAAACAACAACACGCAACAACTCACAACAACACACAACAACACACAACAACACACAACAACACACAACAACACACAACAACACACAAAAACACAACAACACACAACAACACACAACAACACACAACAACACACAACAACACACATCAACACACACAACAACACACAACAACACACAACAACCAGCGAGTTGCAAAAACATGCGAAAACACCACGTATTTGACGATTCTCGGCCACTACGGAACCGAGAAAAAACGCTGCAGGGGTAACACCAACACAAACACCAACACCAACACCAACACCAACGCCACCACCACCACACCACCACCACCACCAACAACAACAACACAACAACAACAACAACGACGACGACGACAACAACAACACAACAACACACCACAACACACCACAACACACAACAACACACAACAACACACAACAACACACAACAACACACAACAACACACAACAACACACAACAACACACAACAACACACACACAACACACAACAACACACAACAACACACAACAACACACAACAACACACAACAACACACAACAACACACAACAACACACAACAACACACACAAACACACAACAACACACAACAACACACAACAACACACAACAACACACAACAACACACAAACACACAACAACACACAACAACACACAACAACACACACACACACACACACAACACACAACAACAACAACAACAACAACAACAACAACAACACACAACACAACAACACAACAACCACAACAACCACAACAACCACAACAACCACAACAACACACAACAACCACAACAACCACAACAACCACAACAACCACAACAACAACACCAACACACAACACACAACACAACGCATAACACTTAACACACAACACACAACAC